CTTTCTCTATTTTTTTTGAAATATAAGCCATCAAACTTCTAATAAAGAAATCGCCTTTTTTGGAAAAATTATCAATTTTCTTTGGTTCATAACTTTTTTACTCATTGCAGGACAACGAAGTACCTTGCTCCTTAAGGTATGACCTTTACTAAAGCAAATTGTAGTAAACTTATCTGAATAGTCTTGCGTTATATTGAGAAATTTCAATTTAACCTTACGCCTTCAGAGCAAAATTTGGTAGATTTAAACTTTTAATGTGTAAATTGTTTGGAAATTACATTTGAATCAAAAGCCATTGCGATTTAATAATCTTACTGATATTTTGAATCGTTATTGGCGGTCTAACACAACAACCCCATGTGCGTCGGTCACAAGAATATGGAACCTTCTTTCTTAAAACTTTGTGAGCATTTCTATTGGCTAACTTCTCACGCTATTCACATTCGCGCGTTATTACAATAAGTATTTTGTGTTGCTTAAAAAGATTGGGTTGATTTCATGATTAATATACATTCTTTGGCAATAGCTTAAAGTGTCATTACACGAATTTTTAAAAATATTATAATTATAATTTATTCAATGCTATTGTAGCATTGAAATAATATATTATTTTATATTCAACCATAATATAAATGTTTGTTTATATTTTGCTTTTTATTTGGTTATATTTAATTTACATGAATTTCAAAATAAAAAAAATTATATTTTGAAATTATATTTTTTTTTAATAAAAAATATTGATCGTTGCTGAATTGTATTGATACGGCTACTAATCTACGCCCTTAGGCCAATATGCCCGTTGTGATACCACTATGAGGCTGTTATGTATCTTCTGCGCGTCTATTAATTCTTGCTGAAGATATCTGAGCGAGCAGAGTAAAAAACGGTATTGTACATTGGACTCTTTCCATGCGGCCATAATCATTGGAGTAATAGGCTGTTTTCCCGTAAAGCCCCATTGAACGGTTTCCTGTTAATACACCCGTCTTTATGCTAACGGATAACCGGTCTAGAGGGATAATATGGTTAAATTTTTTCCCGTCCAATTAGCTGTCTGATCATGTTACACGTGATCTCATTCATCCATCTAATGTTTGCAATTGTCTGAAGGTCAAACGTTGCCGTGGAAAAGGTAAATCTTCATCCAGTGCATGGTTTATTGTGGATAGATAGGGTTCCTACCATGCAATAGGATGTTCTTGTCGTGGGATTGCATCTTTATATAGCAACTTTAGATGTGGTAATGTTACACTATAGAGACCTGCTGGCTATTTGATTATCGGAATATAACGTAACTGATAGTCTTGCTGCCTTAGATTTGAGCAGCTATTCGGCGGCTTCCATGATTGCAAACAGTTCCGCTTGTAGACGCTGCAGTGGCCTGGTAATTTCCTACTCATGTTTATTGTGGGCCTGCTTTTTCAACGATTTTTGAGCCGTCTGCATAGATGGGTATGGCTCCTTGGCAGGAGGCGTTTCGATATGAGTCTAATGGTCATTGTTTACAAAATTCCCTTCCAAAGAAGGAGCAAGTAAGAAAACACTCCATAAAAGAAAACTACTCTACTTTTCTGACTTCTCTTTTGAATTTTTGATTCCATGTGACAAAAGCGAATGGAAAAGAAAAACAAAATACAAGGTAATTGTTGTATTTTTTCTCACCTTCATGAATTCGTCTTGATGCACACGAAATTTTTCGAACATTTGAGATAGTGAATATAAGAAACTCATAATAGCGGTATCAAAACGGGCAGATTGGCATAAGTCCCACTAATTAATAGCCACATCAATTCAACTCAAATAAAAAAGGCCAACATTTTTTTATTGTTTTATTTGGAAAATGTCACAAGTCTAGTATGAAAATTTTTAGCTATACAATTAAAATTTCAAAATAAAAATTACAAACATGCAAAGCATAAACAGTAATTTTGACTAAAATTAATTGAAAAATGTTGAACTCGTTGCTCTAGTAACTCCACCTTGTTAAATTCGCCTTGATTCGAAGCAAAAAAAATTCGGCGAATTTCGTCGGACATATCGCTTCTATAATTTCACAAACAAAACTTATAGGCTTTTTGTTTTTGTATGCTTGCTACCAAGGCGAATTTATCAAGGTGGAGTTACTAGAGCGGCGAATTCAACTTTTTTTTATTTATTTAATTCGCTTCAGTGTAATGACTGTTAAAATGTTTGTTTATGTTTTGTATTTTTGTTTATATTTTGCTTTTTATTTGTTTACATTTAATTTGAGTTTCTAATTAGATTTTTTTTTTTGTTTCAAATAAAAAATCTGGACCGTTGCTAAGCTGAGTTGATATGGCTATTAATCAACGCACTTAGGCCAATAGGTCCGTTGTGATATGAGGCTCTTATCTTCATATTCTCACATGTTGGAGCCATTCGCTTGTCAATTAAAAGTAATTCTTGCTGAAGCTAGCTTAGCAAGTCATTCAAAGAAGTCGTAGTGTTCAATGGACTCTTTCTATGCGGCCACAATCATTGGAATAATAGCATAATGTCCCATGGCCCCATTGAACGGTTATCCGTTATTACACCTATAGTTATGATAATGGATAACTGGTCAAGAAAGGTAATGTGTTTAGATTTTTTCGCGACCAATTTTGGTCAAAGCTGTCTATCACGTTGCAAGTGAACTCATTCAACCATCTCATGTTTGCATTATACCGTAACTGATAGTCCTGCTACCTTAGATTTGAACAGTCACTCGGCGGCTTCCATGATTGCAAACAGTTCTGCTTGGAAGATACTGCTGTGGACTGGTAATGTTCATGTTTATAGAGGGACCGCTTTTTCAAGGAGCTTTGAATCGCATGTAAAAATGAGTTTGGGTACTGTTTGGGAATCTTGCCTGAAGGAATTGTCGAGGCAATCAGATCTATAATTTTTCCAAAGCTACTAAAGATCAAGGATCTATATCCTTCTGGATCAGTGTTTCGCCATTTTTGGTATACTAACTGTAAATAATAATTATAATCAATTAAATATTTATATAAACTGAAATCTGGGTGTGTGTGTTGGTACACTGTCAGTTACAAAAACTGCAGAAGTACAGACTCTGGAAATCTCTTTAGATCGGCAAATGAATTAGACTAATGGCCATTTTTTAATCCCATTAAAGAAGGAGCTAGCAAGAAAACACTCCATAAAAGAAAACTACTCTACTTTTAATAACGACATAATTTTTTCTTTGTTTTTTTTTCTGACTTTTGTTTTGAATTATTGATTCAATTCGACAAAAGCGAATTGTATGAACTCGCCATGATTTTGACAATTATTACACTGAAAACAAAAACAAAATACATGGTAATTGCTGTTTTTGTCCCCTGCTCTCACCTTCATGAATTCGCCCTGGATACTACTGTGTGCAAATTAAGTTTAAACTTTTTATGTGCGCTATGTGTGCTCCCCGTAATAAACATGCCTTTGCTTGCCTTAATAGGTCTGTTTATTGAGACTGAAAACCGAGTAAAGCAGAGTAATTTTGAGTAGAATAGAGCAGCTGTCAAAAAACTGAAGAGTAAGTTAGGGCAACTCGGAGCAGTAGCCTCATGAAACACTTTCTAGGTAGAAATTCTCAAAACAGTTGAATGTTTGAATTTTCATTTGACATATATAAAATGTTTTAGATATGTATATTGATTTGTGTACATATAAAATTTTTGTAAAATATAAAATGGATAAATATATTATCACCGATATCATGAAAGAATATCTAGATTCTTCAGACTGGGATAATTCGCTTTTATCCTCATCAGAAATTGAGAGCTCCGAAGCTAGTTATTTTCTGTTCGCGGCAAGCATTCTATGGTCACAATGTGCCCACTTCCGTTTTCCAGTTGTATTCTTTTCATTTTTATTTACTCCACGTATCTTTGAGTTAATTTGATACTTAATTTTTTAAATAAAAACTTGGCAGACAGACCTGTCAAAACAATTATTTTGCTTGTTCTATGTTACTCTACAAAAAAGTCAGAGCAGGAAATCATGCTCCAAGTTGCTCTATTTCTGCTTAGAGCAGACTCATGGAACAAAGAGTAGAGCAAGAAAAGTGTCATGAAACACAATTTTGTGAGTAACCTACAATAGCATAACCTAGAGCAGCTCAATAAACAGACCTAATATCAATCGTCCGGCTCCCGACAACAAACTTATAACGAGGTGCTCACAGCTCGTAACCTTTTGACATATATATATTTATGATGTGTAATTTTATGATACTATTGTATATAAATCTTCCAAATATTTGTTTTGCAAAAATCTGTAGACCTTAATTGCCCAGACCAATTGATTTCCGCAGTAGCCGAGTAATTAGCATTGCGATCCAACATCCAACGACCAACATCCATAACGTATAGAAAATTAATTTAAATAAAAAATTAAGTTAAATTTTCTAATTGCTCGTCGCCCCTTGGCAGGGAATGTCAACCTCTCCGGGTATATTTCTGAAATGAAAATCAAAGCTCCTCATAAAAAACCATCAACCATTCGGAGGCAACTTAGTATAAACTGGGGGTCCTTTATTTGTTGGAAAAACATCAGGACGCAAAACTACAAAATGGACGAGGAGCTGGGCTGAAAATCACTTCAGCGGTTACAAAGCGATAATTATATACATATTATTGATTACCAAAAAACCCCCATTTGCGACCAGCTGTAATTCTACCCAATTGTATTTGGTTGAGATTAATCCCGTATAATTCTTACCGCAGTTTAGTTACTCAATTTTGTTGCAAAGATTAAATAACAAATTACATATATTTTGTAGATGCTTAGCTATCGCAGCTTATAGCTCGAGCTAAAACGGAGCTTATTGTTGGTATCACCATTTTTACTTTACGAAAACCTAAAAACTAAAGTAAATTTACAATAAGAAATTTAATTAATCTTAAATATTGCTTATAAAAATTTCAAAATACATTTTTGAGCTCATGTAAATGACATAATTTGCCAACATTTCATCAATATTACTCTCTTCGTAGCTGATTTAATCATAATCGCAAGTGGACTAGACCTACAAGGACCGATATTTCTTCATGAGCCGCCGCATCGCATCGAGTTTTCAAATAATACTGGTGGTTTAGTAGAATGCTCTGGTCATGGAAGTCCACCACCGGAGGTGAGCAAATGAATTTTTAACACTGTAGGCCGTGAATATTTATAATAGTGCAGGAAACTGTAATATGTAATTACTTACCTAAACCTCGTATTTATATAAGTAGCCGTATGGAAAAGATTAATATAATCGAGACGTTAAATTAAATTTCTGAATTTTCTTGATATCACTGGGGATCAGGAGAGGCTTTATATTGTGTGTGACAAGCTTTAGGCTAAATGTGTTAGACAGCTACTAAGTTTTTTATATCATTAACAATTTGTACACCAAACTCCAGGTAATAGTTATCAAACTAATCGATTTAGCCATGCTGTCTACTCTTCCGTCTGTGTGCACAATGTCTCGAGCAAAAATTAAGATATCATCCTGAAGCTGAGTAAGCTTATTCCTTGCGATACTAGCAAAAATGGGATAAGTCGAACTACGCTCATCTCCCACAAAACCGCAATGAAAAAAGAACAAAAGCCGTGATATCTTAGCTACAAAAAATACAATTTCAGTTAGATTTGGTTTGGTTTGGTTTGATTATAATCACTTCCGATATAAAAAATGAAGTATGAAAGAAATATTGAATGGGTATTCTGTTGAAAAAGTATCCTTTCAAATACTCTCTTATAGATGGCCCTCAAATCTATAGATTAGTTTGTTTGCGGAGCTCAATGTTGTCAATCAATTTCAGTTCTCACCGCATATAACAGTCAGTAAAAAAAATTCTTATTGTCCAATATAAAAAGAAGTGGAATTGTAGACAATACTGCCGAATGATGTTTGGAGCGTTTAAGTGTGAATATTTTGTAGATGCACGTTTCCGTAGAATTCAATGGGGTAAATTTAACGAAGAATACTCTGAGTAAGATGCAGTTAAAAAACTAAGAAAATCAATTATCTGTCTTAACAAAATAATTTTACATATCCAATTGGTTGGTTTTTGTTCGCGCAGGTGGAATGGACCCCGATTCCTCCGCAGCAGGACATGGTATTTACACTCTCAAACGGAAGTCTTATGTTTTATCCTTTTTCTGCGGAAAAATACAGACATGAAGTGCATGCCACAGTCTACAGGTACGTCAACCAGTCTACTAAATATTTCTCAAATTAATGCAAATATGCTCCCAAACAAGAACTTGGTATTAGAAAAATTCATAAAAATATTTATATGTTTGATTTGCGAGTACATTGAATTTTTTTAAATATTTTTTTTATCAAATATATGTATTTCTTTTGGTATCTGTTTACATACTTTTCAGATGTAAATTACGTAATCTGGTCGGAACAATACTCAGCAGAGAAGTACACGTTCGCGGAGGTAAATAATTATATAAATATCTAAACTTTCTATTTATGGAGACATAATCTTATACATCTCTTTTGATCATTTTTTTCTTTGTACAGTTGTCAACCAAAAATACACGGTGCAGGTGCATGACGAATACGTGATGACTGGGAATACGGCGGTACTGAAATGTCAGGTGCGTATACTGAATCTGTGAAAATATTTTTTTAATTTATGTTATGACTCTAAAAATATGTTTTATGCTGAAAAATAATACTGTAAAAGAGATTTTGAACATCTCTCAAAAACACCGTACAGACACACCTTGTCGCTATATCATACTCGTAGTAGTAAGCTTGCGTCCTTCAAGAAAAGATTCATTGTCCTAAATATCTTAAATAAAAATTATATATATTTGTATGTCGCTACCAACATAACGACTCATACTTTATTTCGTTCATCATCAAAGAGCTCTTGTTATCAATTTAAAAATCAGACTAAGGCGAGTATGAGTTTTAAACAGAAAAAAATAATAGTTCTGTTCGGTGTCTGATGGGCAGCAACAATTGGCTCAACTCAGGTCTGGATACTGTAGCATGTTAAACTCCTGCATATCCAGGCTAGACCCCAGTATACCAAACGTATGCCCTGCATGTGGAGAGTCTCCGCACGACACTAACTACCTCTTCACATGACCTCTCAAACAAACTCATCTAACCCCCCTCTCCCTTGGGTCAACCCCTTTGAAACAGCTCGTTTCCTGGACCTCCCATTAGAAGACCTCGGCGACTTAGATTAATCAAATCTGTGCTAAGCAGGGTTAGCGAACCACTATAACAACAACAACAACAACAGAATCTTTCTTACTTTACTTGCGTAGACACTACGAGTTCAAAGTTATGACTGTCAATGCGATGACAGTTTATTTAATGGCGAGATATTTCGTCTTGCCCTCATTCACTACCAGACCCATTTGATTCGCTTTTCTATCGAGTCTGGAGAAAGCAGAAGTAAGTTGTTGAGGCCAATAATGTCAATATCATCGGCGTACGCCAGCAGCTGTACAATTTTAAAGAAGTTTGTACCTTCTCTATTCAGCTCTGCAGCTCGTCACACGATAAGGAGTCGCCTTGTCTGAAACCTCGTTTGGTATCGAACAGCTCGGAGAGGTCCTTTCCGATCCTGACGCAGCTTTTGGTGTCGGGCATGCTCTTCGCCACCATGTTTGAATAGTTCTTCCGGTAGGCCGTCAGCTCCCGCCGCTTTGTTGTTTTTTATGCGGGCGATTGCTATTCGAACTTCTTCATGGTTAGGTAATGGATCGTCTTTTTCATCATCATCGATTGGGGTTTCGGGCTCGGTAGAAGCATTTTGCTTCCCTCTTCATCTCTCTGTATCTATCCCATCCAGCACGTACTGCGGTCAATGGTCGTGGTTTCGAGGCAGGCAGTCTGTTTTCTCTCCACTGCGGCACACGGCATTCCTCATCGTACCAGCTGTTTTTGAGACCTTCACGAAATCCAATAGTTTTGTTTGCAGCCGTCTATGACAACATGATCGATCTGGTTTTGTGTTTGTGATCAGAGGACAGCCCCGGTGAAATCGATCAGCCTCAAGCCCAGCTTCCCCATCCTGGCATTAAAATCGCCATGCCCAATTTTAACATCGTGACGGGGGCAGCGTTCGTAAGTGTGTTCTATGCGTTCATAAAAGAAATCTTTGGCCAAATCGTCCTTCTCTTTTGAAGGGGCGTGGGCGCAAATTAACGATATATTGAAAATTTTCGCTTTAATACGGATTGTAGCGGGACGCTCATCCACTGGGCTGAATGCCCCACCACAAATCTGACACCAAATTTGCGCTCTTTTATATGACCGCTGTAGTAAATGTCACAAAAACCTACTGGCTTTCGTCCTTGTCCGGTCCATCGCACTTCTTGGACGGTGGTGATGTCTGCCTTTATTCTTACGAGGATATCAACCAACTGGGCAGCGGCACCTTTTCAATTTAGAGACCGGATATTCCAGGTGCATTCCCTCAAATCGTGGCCATTAATTTGTTTGCGGGGGTCGTCAACGGAAATTGGGTATCTCATACGTTTTACATAGCGAGCCGCTTATATAGCCGTTTATATAGCGAGCCGCTTGCTTCAAGACCGGCGCCCGCTCGCAGCGGCACTATTAAAAGTCGGAGTGGCTCCACTTAATCTTCCTCTGTCATTAACGGTAACCAAAGGCTCAACACGGGTTGTTTACCGCATCTTGCACCAGGGTTGCTCATGTTTCCAGAGTGCGCGACGTGGACGCAAGAGTAGGAATTGAGTATAGCCTCGAAACTTTAATCGCATACCCAGAAGCTTGACCCCACCCGACAACTAAACCGAGTTCGGTGGGATAAAAACCCAGTAAAGTTAGTAACGAGGGCAATTTTAACGTTCAATTTCGAGAGAAAGTTGTGCTGCGTAAAGTCATATTGAATGAGAGGATTTGAGCCCTGGTTCGATCAACACCCACAATTATGGAAAATTTGTTTTTCTAATTGCGGCCCGCATAAAAATCCATCGGGCGTTCGGAGGTGGCTTACAATAAACTGTAGTTGCCTTAATTTTTTCGAGGAGGAGCTCGACCGAGCAATCGTTCAGAGTTCAATATAATAGCGGTTATATATATGCCGCAGGCCTATACGAAAAATACTTTTAAGGCCATCTCCCTATTGCAATATTGCGTTGTTGAAACCTGACTCTGCTGGCTAAAGCGGAAAGTTTTTGCAACTTATAGCTAAACTTAATATCTTCTGGATGAATTTATTTTATGCATGTTGCTGTGATTTTTCCAGGTGCCTAGTTATATGTCGGAGTTTGTGATGGTGACGGCATGGGTGCAGGATACGGGAATGCACCTTTACCCTAACACAGACATCGGCGGAAAATACACAGTTCTATCTAACGGAGAGTTATACATAAATAATGCGGGACCAAATGATGCATTTAAGAGCTACACTTGTCGCACTGTGAATCGACTGACAGGTGAAACGTTCAGTAATATTTTTTATTTGATTTAAATACTTTTGTTTATTATACTATCTTTTTAAATTTCCAATTACACTTGAATTATAAAATTGATCACATTGTCATAATAATCCGAACTATTTATCATTTTGATTTATTATAGGTGAAATTCAAATATCTACATATCCAGGAAGAATAATAGTCACAGAACCGAAGGGAATGGTGCAACCGCGTATAAATGTCGAAAAACACTCACTGCGCCATGTGGTGCTTAACGGTCAAACGACATTACCTTGTATTGCTCAGGGTCATCCGGTGCCAACTTATCGGTAATACTAATGCTATCTAATATTCAATATATGTATATACATATATATATATATATATATATATATGGCCAACACAGTCTCTTAAAATTTTTGGAACTCCAACAGAACTTGGAAGGAATAACAAAATTTAAACTTCATTTGGCCTTCCGTTTTTTTTTTTAATTAGAAACAATCGCGATGAATTCGTGAAGTATTCCAAAACTCTATAGTTTAAATTTGAAAGAAAGGAAGAAGTCACTGGGAGCCAGGTTCTCACTGTAGGGTGGACGCTCGATTTCTGTAAATCCAGTAATTTTTAAGGCAACCCCCAACAAATTAGTGTAATGAACGCTCAGTCACTGCAGTCCCCTTTGGCAATCAATTTATAAAATTCCTCGCTATCCTAGAAAAATGGAATGAATTTTTTTGGTGGCTTTTCCCCTTTTTTATCCACTGCATCGACTCGTGTGTCAGCTCGGGATCATATTGACGAATCTAAGTTTCATCAACTATTACAATGCGGTTACAAATTTCATTCAAATAATCATGGCTATTTTCGGTTTACGTCGACCGAGTGTTGTTGATTGTTTAAGGAACGAGATGTTAATTAACCAAAATAAAAAAAGTTGTTTTATTTATATTGGTGCCTAAAAAGTAATTGCGGATTTTTTAAAAGAAAGTAAATGCATTTTTAATAAAACTTAGAATAAACTTTAATCAAATATATAATTGCCATCTTCCTGGCAAATTTAGTATTCCACGCTCATAGAACTTCTGTCCGTTATCTGCAAAAAACTGAACCAAGTGCGATTTTATAGCCTCATCATTGCCGAAAGTTTTACCATTTAAAGAGTTCTGCAAAGATCGAAATAAATGGTAGTCTGATGGTGCAAGGTCAGGGCTATATGGTGGATGCATCAAAAGTTCCCAGCCAAGCTCACTCAGTTTTTGGCGAGTGACCAAAGATGTGTGCGGTCTAGCGTTGTCCTGGTGGAATATGACACCTTTACGATTGACCAATTCTGGTCGCTTCTCCTTGATGGCTGTATTCAATTTGTCCAATTGTTGACAGTAAACATCCGAATTAATCGTTTGGTTCCTTGGAAGCAGCTCAAAATATACGACACCCTTCCAATCCCACCAAACAGACAGCATAACCTTCTTTTGGTGGATATCAGCCTTTGAAGTGGTTTGAGCTGGTTCACCATGCTTGGACCATGATCGTTTTCGACTAACGTTGTTGTAAACAATCCATTTTTCATCTCCAGTTATGATTCGTTTTAAAAACGGATCGAATTCATTGCGTTTAAGGTGCATATCACAAGCGTTGATTCGGTGTGTTAAATGAATTTCTTTCAATACATGTGGTACCCAAATATCAAGCTTTTTCACCAGTCCAAGACTTTTTATGTGATAATGAACGGTTGATTTTGGTATATTTAACTTCTCTCCTATCTCACGCTCAGTTACATGACGATCCAATTCGATTAATGCTTTGATTTGGTCATCATCAACTTCATTTGGCCGACCTGAACGTGGCTCATCTTTAAGTGAAAAATCTCCAGAACGGAATTTGCGAAACCAATTTTGACACTGTCTTCCTTTTAAGGCTTCATCACCATACACATCTCGTAACTTTTTAGCAACCTGCTCCGCGTTTTTTCCTTTACGGAAATAATAAAGTAAAATATGACGAAAATGCTCCTTTGTGGGCTCCATATTAAAATTGACGCCAAACAAACAAATGTAAACAAAATTTCGTGCACTTTTTTTCTAAAGCAAGCTAAAAGTAACAGCTGATAACTGATAGAAGAAAGAGTGCAATTACAGAGTCACAAGCCGTTGCAAAAATTTTTCAACGCCGACTATATGAAAAATCCGCAATTACTTTTTGGGCAACCCAATCTAGAGCCCTGTCATTCGTATTATGAGATGATGTATCGCCTCTTGTATATACATTTCCTTGTATTGTCTTCGAAGAGCTTTTTAATGCTAAGACAATTTTTCAAATGTCTTTCATTCTCATAACTATATTTTTTTACATTATTATTTTAGCTCAAAAAATATTTTCTATAAGTTTATTTATTTGCATAAATGCTCGTGTATTTATGTACAACCGAACAATTCAACACTTAAAATTGATTTGATTTCAAATCTTCACAATTATTCTCGTCACAAACTACAACAAAAAAGATTGAAGACAAAATTAAAAGGGCACAATGAAAATGAGAATACTATTTTTTTCTTTTCGAATAAATCCGAAAAAAGGCAGAGAAAGGTTAGCAAAAGTACAAAGTTGATTCAATACAAAAATGGAAAATTAAAGAGAAATTTACTCAGTACTTATGTGCATACATACTCGTATTTATACTTTTTAATTGATGAAGCGATTTTGGTACGAGCTTCTCCTCAAATTTGTGGAATGTGTTTACGATTTTCACAACAAATGAAGGGACCAACAGTTTGTTCTATGAATTTGCAGGAATTTTTATGAGAAGTTTTAAAATTTCTCTTTATTCGCTGAACTATATCAACTAAAGCAAGAAATGACTGCCGCTATTATTGAATTAGCTTGAAAGTAAATCGAAATAAAGAATTAACCATAACTATCCAGAAATTCTCGATGATAAATCACTATTTTATTGCACTGTTTATCATAACTTTGCAGCTGGTTCAAGGAGGAAAACGAACAACTGCTGCCCCTGCAACTAAGTGAGCGTATTACAATTGTTTCAGCCGGATTGCTTAAAATAGCAAAGGTAAAAGCATTGTAATATAGACCACACTTATACGTTCCTAATTTAAATATTTGTCAAATGACATTTAGGCCCGCCTAGAAGATAGCGGTAAATATCTTTGTTGGGTAAACAACACTGCCGGCGAGGAAACCATACAAGTGTCTTTAACCGTAACGGGTAAGTGATGACTTTTGTATAGCATAAACTTTTTTAGAAAAGTGAAATAGTTATGAAAAAACAGTTTGTTTTGTAAAAATCGATTTCAATAAACCTTTCTTTGATTACAGCGCCACTTACAGCTCATCTGCAACCTCAGGTACAAACAGTTGATGTTGATAAAGACGCACAATTTCAGTGTATTGTGTCCGGACATCCGGTTCATGATGTGAATTGGTTGCACGACGGCAAACCAATATTGCGCGACAATCGAGTTGAGGTAAGATAAGGCATTTCAAAAACCAAAGTGGTTGCAAAGATCAAATTATGTTATTAAAAAGTATACCAAATTTCATCGAGTTAACGAGAGTGAAAATTTCCTTCCATTTTCTTTTTGCAGATATTAACTGATCCTCCAAGACTGATAATTAAAAAAGTGCAAAAAGATGATCCTGGGATGTATCAATGTTTTGTTTCGAATGAATGGGAACAGATTCAGTCGACGGCTGAATTACAACTTGGAGGTGAGCTAATATTTTTCATACTTTAATTAAAAGTTTTTTCGGGGATCGTAAATTTTCTAATTTTAATGTTAATTTTGGTGCCCTTTTCCACAATCAACGCCTCGAACTCTTACTGTGTTTTAAATTGCCGGCCCTTTCCGGACATTACTAGGTAAAATTATCCATAGATCTTTCCCACAGAACTTAGTCTAGACTTACAGCTGGACAACTTTTTGCTATTTAGAAAAATGTACTCTGATATAGACTTAAACTATGGGCGCATTATTGTGGTGATTATTACTCAGCTAGCTCCATCTACAACTTCACATTCACCGTTCGTTTAATGCGAAACAAAGATTTCTATTTCCATTTTCTCATGTAACTAAAAACTGTTCATGTCATGCGTAATCGCATTAATTTTTTCATCAAAGAGTTTTCAAGCCTGAGTTAGTTTCTCATCTTTTGAAGTCCCCAACTGAAAACAGATCGATGATTATTGTTAATGCAGATACAACTGTGTTTAAGGGCAAATGAAAAGTGTGTGGAAAAATGCATAGATAACGATACTTTTAGTTTTTTTCGGTTTTAGTTTACCTTTACTAACAAACATATTATTAATGACCTGGAAATCACTAAGAACCCCAAACTGAACTTTAACTATCATATTGGAGTGGCAGTCAGTGTAGCGTTATATAACATATATATTTTTACATATAAAAAATATTTTTATACGTAAATTTAACAAATTTATTTACCGAATTTAATTACTGAAACATAAACATGCATTTGCTTTTAATTTTATTTTTAGATGCCTCTCCAGAATTGCTTTATTGGTTTTCGGAGCAAACATTGCAACCTGGACCGACTGTGTCATTAAAATGCGTAGCAACAGGAAATCCGCTGCCACAATTTACATGGTCGCTAGATGGGTTTCCGGTAAGTTCTTAGTATAACCATGAAGTGAGTGTAATATTTTTTTGTGTAGACGCTCATGCAAGAGAGGAAAGCTTTCCTGAGCTAAAGTGAGAAAGCGTATTCCCCTGCGGTTGTGATGAAAAAATTTACTTCAATAAAAAATATATCTCGGATGAGAGGACGGCCCACGCAAATGTTTTAAGGATCTCGATTTGAGTACATGCACCTGGAATTTCAGGTCTCCTAATTGGGAGTTGGTTGATGTCCATGAACTATATCAATGTCACCGTATTCCTTGTACAGCTCATTGATACATCGTTTATGGTATTCGCAAGACTTTACAATCAAACAGTCACCCCATTCGTAGTCCTAGATTACTTCGTCTATCTTGGAACCAGTAGTAATACAAACAACAATGTCAGCCTTTAAATCGATTGCATAGTTTCAGCTAATCAAGGAACAGAGGCTACGCTAGCTGGGTCATGTGGTCTGCATAGATAAGAATACTCCAGATTTAAAAGTTTTCAATGCAGTACACACCGGTGGAAGTAGAGAAAGGGAAGACTTACACACTGTTGCTAAGACCAGACTTAGAACGATCTGGCTGTTTCCAATTAGTGCCAAACTGCAAAAAGAAGGAATGAATGGTACACTGTTGTTAACTTGGCTATAATTAATTGTCCTAATGATATATGAGTCATTGCTTATGTAACATTTTTTTTTTAAATTTTCATCATATAAATTTATTTAGAATTTTAGATCCTTTTGCAGTTTCTTACATAAAATGTTGAGGGTGTCTAACTGAAAAATTTATTTTGCAGATTCCAGACAATTCAAGGTTTTTAGTTGGACAATATGTAACTATTCATGATGACGTTATAAGTCATGTGAACATATCAAACGTTAAAGAGGAAGACGGAGGCGAGTATGCTTGTACTGCCCAAAACTCCATAGGAAAGTAAGTATTTAATGATGTTCTTATAAATAAGAGGTATTGAGGCAGTTTTATTCGGGTCGATTTGCACGACCTTTAGTACTTGAGTAATAATCAAAATTGAACGAAAACCACACCCTCTATTTGCTATAATATTATATGCTTGCTGTGCAATCAATAAAGCGAAAAGCATTTTGAAGATAGCATATGTATATCTCAATAACCAATTCATCAAAATAAAATCTGCCTGCAATTTAATGTTCAATTTCAGCGTATTTTGGCGCTTTCTAAATAAGAGTGTTTCTGATTTTTCAGGAATAAAGCAAGGTTATGTTTTAAATAGTATTTTGTACTACTAGCCTGTTTTGATAAATACTTGCAAACATAATGAAGTTATGGAGACATTTAAATAAAATCACACAAGTTCTATATAATATAATATATACATATGTATCTTCATTTAAATATCTGCCACATTTCTTATATTACATTTTAAATGCCTTAATTAATTTCTCTTGAAATTTACAGAGTATCTCACAGTGCCAAAGTGAATATCTACGGACTTCCATATATTAGAGAAATGCCAAAAATAACGGGAATATCGGGTTCTGATTTGGTTGTAACGTGTCCAGTTGCTGGTTATCCGATCGACAAAATTCATTGGGAACGTGGTAAGCGTACATACATGCATATCCATTTTATAACAACACTGTCATGATCGATGTATAGCCACATACACACATAATTTAGGATTAAGTTTGAATGAGGCTGAAAATGTCTGAACAAAACGGAAACAAAAAGGAAACCAGGAAATATTTATTTGTTACCATACGAGCCTATGAATAGTTTAATTAATGAATAAGTTATAGTCTTGAATTTCTCCTTTTACGTCTTTCAGAAATATAACATTATTTTTCGAATAGTCGCTTCGCGAAACCTTCGAAAAGTTATCTATATTCGAATAACCAACGACGAATGACGATTCGATAAGCAGGGACAGATCCAGCAACGATTATTATCATCACATCTAAAGTTAATGCCATTCGGAATGATAGTTGGTTACTTTTTTTATACCCAACTCCTTTTTTACCCTTCTGAAGCCTAGCAGTAAGTATTAGCTCGAGGTCTTTTCGACCTATGGCGTTCTCCTTAGAAGGTAGGAACGACTCTTCGCTACAGTCGGAAATTTTTTTGAGGCTCTCCGTACTATTAGTCATCCATAATTATTTTTAGAATTTGGTACTGAGATTTCTGTATTTCAATTCTCCAGTTTGCCAGCGATTCTTCGACAAAAAACAAATGGTCCCCAATCCTTTTTGATGCAACGACATTGGTCACGACATAATATATCCGTATCACCCGCGAAAGTACGAGTAGATGTTGGTACTTTTCGGCTTGCTTGGTTGGCTGGGATGACTGCAATTTATATAATGTATAATAGCCGAAGAACGCTATCTTCATGAGCTGAGGAAATTACCCAGTGATTGTTTAACAGTAAATCGCTTGTTAGACAGATATGACTCAAACACGAGTATATTGTCTCATTAGATAGGCAAATATTCCTTGACATCGAATGCCTTCCTACTTTCATTAGCAATTCAGTTAAATTGTTCTATACTACTTTGTTTTTCACGAAAACAAAACCGGTTTTCTGGTATCACTTTGGAAAATAACTTTGTTTCTAAATGAAATTGAAGAGTTCTGAAAGCAATGCAAATGCAACCTCTTTTAGCACATTTGATGCAATAAGATCAATTCCAGGATTGATGCCTTAATCGTTACCTGAGTTTTAGTATACTAAATAGCAATGAAAAATTGCAGTAAAAATATGATTTGCATTTCAGTATCAATTTTATATCGCTTCTTGCTGAATGAATGAATCTATTTCGCTACTTGGTTCGCCCTATATTAAATAATTTTAATATCCAATTAAATTAAAAAATTAAGGGTATAATTTTAGTTACTGAAGAGCGCGTATCATTTTCGTATTTAAAGGATCATGTTTTCCTATACTATTTTCTCTCTCTTCTTTATAAATGAATGTAATTAAAAATATTTGAATTTTACACTTTCATTTTAACATCCGTCTAAAGATGGCCAAACACTGCCCATAAATCGCAGACAGCGCGCCTACAATAATGGAACACTTATTATTGAACAACTTCAGCGACTTGAAGATGCGGGAACTTACACATGCATGGCCCAGAATAAACAGAAACAAACCTCGCGACGCAACGTGGAAATTCAAGTTCTTGGTAAATGAATATTAGAAAGTCGTATGATTTGTATTTATTTATATATATGTATTCTTACATATCATCTCATCGCCTGGTATTTGTTCCATTGCAGTTCCTCCGAAAATAATGCCAATCCAAGCAATGACCAATATGTTGCGCGAGGGAATGCGGGCTGCGATTTCATGTCAGATACTCGAGGGTGATTTACCAGTTAGCTTTCGGTGGGAGCGTAATGGTAAACCGTTAATAGGAACCGGGTGAGTAAAATTAAACATATTTCTAGTATGTATTTATGATTTAATTCATTTTATTTATTTATTATAAGGAACGAAGTCTTCCGCCGATTAGATGAGTATTCTGCTAGCTTGGTAATTGAGCACATTACATCTGAACATTCAGGCAACTATACATGTATTGCCAGTAACGTTGCCGGTATGGAGCGTTTCACGGTACCGCTAACAGTCAATGTTCCTCCAAAGTGGGTATTGGAACCCAAGGATTCAAGTGCTCAAGCTGGACAAGATGTTTTGTTGCATTGTCAGTCTTCCGGCTATCCAAAACCAACGATTACGTGGAAAAAAGCCATTGGTCCTACACCAGGAGAATACAAAGACTTCCTCTACGAGCCAACAGTTCAATTATTTCCAAATGGTACCATATACTTTAAGAAAATTAGCAAAGAGTCACAAGGTCACTTTCTCTGTGAATCAAAAAATAACATAGGATCAGGTGTAAGCAAAGTAATCTTCTTGAAAGTGAATGGTAAGATATCTAAATAATTACACAATTTTTCACAATTCGAAGATTAGAGTCTTTGTTTTACACTAACAGGCCTATTCTCACTGTTACCGGTAAAGTAAATTTTGTTACTTTTCTTTATTTCTGAATTTGGTATTCTGGCGAACTGGTTACAATGTTTGAAAAAAAATTTGGCAGCACTGCTTTTTTCGTCCATGTCAAATTACATTTGCCAGTTGATAAAGTAAAAAGAAAAATATTCACATCGAAATGGAAGAAGGTGCACAAAAAAATTAAAAAGTTTTGTTAATCTGTTTATTAAATCATAAATATTTAAACCTAATTATGGAAAATATGCCTAGATAACAAAAATAGCTGAATGAAAAAGTTATATTACAAATTAAAAGGCTATTTTTTAGTCTCGAAAACTTCTTAAAATACGGCTTTTTGCACTTTTTTCATCTTCAATGAATTCCAGGCCTAAAATATGTCTACCCATTTTGTTTTTTTTTTATTTTTTCAAAATTACAACACAAAATCCAACAGTAGATTTTTTGTTACCTCGCCTTTAGCTAGTAACAAAATTTACAGGGTAACAGTGTGCTCAGAATACGAAATGGTAACAAAATTTACTGAATGGTAAATTTTAATACCAAAGTAAATTTTGTTACCTCGACAGAATAGGCCTGTAAATGTGTTGATAGTAAAGTGAGTCAGATACGACACCCGTATTTATAGAATATCGTTAGTAAAAACCTTTGTTTTTCTTTTCTACCTCCTTCGTGCTTCGATACATTTTGTATCTTATTCAGGAAGTCTAAACACGAATATATTCACATAAATATTGAATAAATTATGTTTTTATAAGATTCCATGAATTAGAACTTCAAATACTTTCTTCTAATTTAATTATAAGAATTGGCTACGAAGAGGCTACAAATTCAAAAACAAAACTATTTTCTTCAATATTGAAAACTTTCATTTTTGTAGAGTAAATAATTCTTAACATATAAGCTAAATCCAACCCTTAGGTAGAGTAATTTATGAATATGACCTCTAGAACATTGAATAAGTTTATTCCTGACTTCTTATTATGTATCTTGTGTGTGGAGTGCTTCTTAAACATTATACAGGGTTGTGTATTAATCAAAATGAATATCTATGAGTATTTTACCTGGTTGCTTTTCTTTCAAATCAGAACCCGACTATAGGTTTATTATAGCAAACATTAATTTAAACCGGTTTAATGAATGTTTTAATTAATGAGAACTTTTGTATTCTAGTACCCGCGCACTTTCAAACAAAAACAAAGCAAATCTCAGTCGCAAAAGGTAAGCAGGTACACATTCAGTGTAACGTTCAGGGGGATAACCCCATCGACATCAAATGGAAAATACAAGCCACGCAGCAGTATTTGGACGAATCACTCGACTCCAGGTAAATCTAGTAAGATAGCACATAGAGGCATATATATGCCAATATAAAGGGCTTAGTTTGGGTGGTATTTAAGGTACATAGAGTATTTTTCTGGGTACTAAACATGCTACGAATACGCATACTAATTTTTTTATTGAATGAGCTCTTGCAGAGTAAGTTCTTTATATGGCAATGGTCTTGTGCAATATATCTAATTCCATTTAAATTTTAAAATTTAAACATAAAAGGCATCGTACTTTGGTTTTTGCTCTTTGTGATTAAAAAGTTGAAAATTTAAGACAAAAAGGTCTATATGCGATTATCTACAATCAAATACGAATATTTTTATTTTTGTTAAGGTACACAATTCGAGATCAAGTGTTGGACGACGGGATGGTTTCAGAACTGGGAATTTCACATACATATCGTCAAGATACCGGAATATACATATGCCAAGCCAGCAATGCCTTTGGGCAGGTGAGTGCAATAAATTTACATTCGAATAATAGAGTTAATACAATACGTTTTTAAATTATTATTTTGATGAATATCTTTTAAAAAGTACGCGTTTTTTAAATTTTGGTTTGGTTGCAAAAATTTTTCTTCTTTCAAAGAGTTTGCAAGGCATTGTTCTGTTGTCTCTAAAAATATATGTATGTCAAAGGTATCATATTGAGACATTGGAAATTTATTTATAACGCCATCTGATTTACTAGGTTTGTTTATTGAGCTGCTATAGGTAACGCCAGGTGACTTTTTTTTCAAAAAATTGCGGATCACTAAAACTTGTTTGGTCTTTTAGTTTCACTAGTCTGCTCTCAGCAGAAATAGTGCAACTTAAACATGATTTTCTGTTCTGTCTTTTTTGGCAGAGTAATTTAGAGTAAGCAATAAGATTTCTTGACAGATGCGATCAGAAAACTAAAGAGGGCCGAATATGACAAAGAAATATTCACGGAGTACAACAAAGCACTTTAATACAAGTTCCAACAACGATAATCTATTTTATAAACAAATAAATTTTGTTTACAACAGAAATGTCAAAAATTCGTAATTGGCAATTGTTACCTGAAAAATGTTTCATGAGATTGCCGAGTTTAAACTTTTTCTACTCAGCTATACTTGTACATATATGCACATAGAAAGTTTAATAAATAAAAACTGAAAATATGTTTTGTTTTGTAATAGGATGAAATGTCTATTCAGTTAATTGTACAAGAAGTTCCAGAACAGCCAAAAAATCTTCGTATAAATTCCCAGCAATCACGCAGCCTACAGCTAACATGGAGTCAGCCCTTTGCTGGAAATAGCCCCATTGAAGGATATCACATCTATTACAAGCAAATTTCTGGTAAGTAAACTAAAGTACATATGTACATACGTATATAAATTCACAACCGAATAATTTTTCTTGACTCAACTTTCAAAAATCAAAAATTTGGTATTCTACAAGTTTTAAAATGACACGAAATTAGTTTACATAGCTTAACTATTTTATTGGAATATAGAGAGCAAGTCTTGTCATTGTTGTTGCAAGCAGAAAAATAATTCTCAAAATGGTTTTCGGGAAATATTACGGAGGGGACAGTCCTTGGCTATTTAAAAATCTTGACCGTCCCTGTATAAAGTCTCGATTGTCGCGGAAATTATTGGAATGTAGTCCCCTCTTTCGACTGACTTGCCTTACTTGATCCAAATTCATGAATCCCTAACCCGCAATGGTTTAATTTTTGCATTTATTATCACTTCGATTATTTTTCATAATATTATTTGTTATATATTTATTGAATTCATAATTACTTCCTAAAAAGTAAAATAAGCAATGCTTTCGAGATGGAATTAGTTGTGCTACGTCGCTTTTGAAGCTATCCTCCTGGGTTGTCTCGTTTTTTCGGCTCTATAAAATTTAGACATATTTCGCGAAACACGAATAGCCACATAACATCGATCCACCTGTGCTTAATTTTAAAAATTCCTATTTTCTTTTCTTAGATATTTGGCAGAATGCTGAACATATCACAATTACCGGTGGTCAAACAGTTGTCAATATACAGAACTTGCGACCCGCTAAGGCATATCATTTTCGAATGACTTCTGAAAATAAATTGGGTGCATCTGAGTATTCGGAAGTTGTACAAGTAACTACACTAGAAGAAGTACCCTCTGGACCACCGTTGAATGTGCGCGCTGAAGCGAAAAGTTCCACTGAAATATCTGTCACTTGGGATGCACCAGAACGTGACCACTGGAACGGAATCTTGCTTGGCTACTATGTTGGATATCAAATGTCGTTATCACCAGAAGACAAGGAAGTGAATCCCACCCAAGGATTTAGTTTCAAAACTGTGGAAGTGCGTTCTCATTTCGGAGGAGAAACAGTATTGAGTAACCTAAACAAATATACTCAATACCATGTAATTGTACAGGCGTACACAAGTCAAGGCAGCGGACCACCAAGCAGAGAAATTGCCGTGCAAACAATGGAAGATGGTAAGAAATACAAACGAACTTTGTAAACTGTTTTTTTTTTCTTTTTTTTAAGTCCATTACTCCAGGCTTTTACTTTTATTTTCTCATTACAGTGCCTTCATCACCTCCAGAAAGTCCCCAATGCGACGTACTCGGATCCACTTCAATATATATAACATGGTCACCTCCAGATGTAGACGGACAAAACGGCAAGATTAAGGGATACAAAGTATTCTATATATCTGTTAATGAACTGTACGGTAAGTAAAGAATGTTGTAAGAAAAGAAACGAAACATCCATTTGACATGAGTTGGTTGGACGTTTAGGACAACTGTCTTTCCAAGGTTGTCCTTCATATGTGATTAAGATTTTGTAACTTATTGTCAGTTAACAGAACGATTAAAAAGCGGCTACTTTTTTATCACATTTACTTGCTTAAATACTTTAGCAGCCTGTTGATATGGGCTTCAGTCTCTATACCATTCTTTTATTTTAAATATTAATTTTAATTGCAAAAAGGAAAATCTCCTTAGTAGACGGAAGTCGTTTAAAAGCTCTAAACCTTAAATATGCCTGCATTTAAATAAATGTCTATATAAAATACAATTAAAGGCGGAATGCCCGGAATGGAAACATGCATTCATATATAAGAATTTCCTTATTATAAGCCAATAAGGTATTTAAGGCTTCTAATTAGATATACTCTTTCATTTGTAAAGAAACTGATCCAGAGGTTGTAAAGTCGACAAACCAGTACGTTACGATTGAAACTTTGCGAAAATATACCAACTATACGGTTTGGGTGCTTGCTTACACTAAAGTGGGCGATGGCATGAAGACGAAGCCCTTTTACTGTCGTACACATGAAGATGGTAAGGATAACGCAATTTAATATTCGTATTTGTTTTTACAAAAGTCATTTTTAGTGCCTTCTGCGCCGCAAGCTATTAAAGCGATACCCGCTTCCAGCACTAAAATACTCATTTCATGGCTGCCACCAGAATTTCCTAATGGAGATATTGTATGCTTGACAATGTTCATTAAATATAAATAGTAATATGAATTCATGGTGACAACTAATATTTTCAGACTGGCTACACTTTCTATATGTCCATGCTTGAGGGTGGTCGGGAGGAAGGTACACATAAACGTATACTTGGTCCATTTGTCGAAATGCATGAAACTCAACGCACCCAGGAATCAGCTACGTATCAGTTCTGGCTTACTGCGTCCACAAAGATTGGAGAAGGTGAGAAGACTCAAGTTGTGACAGTGCCACCCAACAACAAAGTTCCCGCACGCATTGTGTCATTTAGTCAACGTTTAATAAGCCCTTGGAAAGAAAACCTAGAGTTACCTTGTCGTAAAGTTGGCTCTCCAGCACCAGTGACGATTTGGAGGCAAGACGGTCATAATATGGATACAAATTCACGTAAAGTGATTGCGAAAAACGGCACCCTGTATATACGTGAGTGTCAAGCTGGCGATGCTGGTAATTATACGTGTAGTGTCGAAAATACTTGGGGAAAGGATGAGATTATTTATAACATTATTATAAAAGTGCCACCCGAAGCACCTAATCTGACAGTAGTGAATAGCTACACAGATAGCTTACATCTTGAGTGGATGGACAATAGTCACGGCGGAAGTCCGATACTCGGCTATGTGATAAATTACAAACGGGAAAATGGTGATTGGGAGGAGTTGCAGGTTGATGCCAAAACTAGTTCTCATTTGTTAACTAATTTGTGGTGTGGCACACGATACCAGCTGTATATAACTGCATATAATAAGATTGGAACAGGATTGCCATGTGACATTGTGAATTCGTTCACAAAAGGAAATCCACCAGTCCAACCGAAACATTCCCAAATGATTACAAATAATTCAACCAGTGTCACCTGTTGGCTGGACTCGTGGGGTGATGGAGGCTGTGGGATCTTATACTTCATGATTGAGTCACGTGTGTTTGGAAGGTAGGTTAATAATTAAGCACAACATTTTTACATTTACATTATTATTATTTAATAATAATAATTAATTTGTGAATACTAACAACAAATTATTGATTCCCAGATCCCAGTGGAATATCATTTCAAATCATATTCCTCCGACAGAGCGGATCTATACGGTTAGTGATTTAATTCCTGGTACAAAGTATCAATTAAAGGTCACGGCTCACAATAACGCTGGTTCTACCACGGCAGTTTATAATTTTACAACTCTTTCTCCACAAGGAGGTAAGTTTCGTTTAACAAATTTTCTCAAAACATTTATTATTTTTAAATATTGGTTTTCAGTTATTTATTCAATAGATCACGCCAATCCGGTATCCCATATGAGTGACAGCCCCTTCTACGCGAACTTTAAGGTTCTAATACCTGTATGTCTTTCGATGTTTATGCTTTTAGGAATTATTGCAGCCGTTCTACTTATTCGAAAAAGAAGTAAGTAAAAGTCTTAGAAATTTGAATAATTATATTGAAACTGGAAAATTCTTCTACAATATTCGGTTTGAAGTCTTTAAGATGATTTTAAGTCGTCAGATCTTTAAAATCTCAATTAGAAATTAAAAATGTAGTTTGGAATTGAGCTATAAGTCTTTTCATTATGGTTTGTGTTTAAAAAAGTATTTCCTTCAATTACATGTGAGAATTTCTCAGATTAATTTTATATACATACATATATAATAAAATATAATTGGCCCTTGTAACCGCTGAAGCGATTTTCAGCCGAGCTCCTCGTTCAATTTGTCTAGTTGCTTGATGCTTTTCCAGCAAATAAATTTCATGTCAGAAATATACTCGGAGGAGATGGCATTCCCTGCCGAGGGGCGATCGCAATTTGAAAATTTAACTTAATTATTTATTTTTGGAAGTTGGTCATACCAGGATTCGAACTCTGGCCTTCTGAATGGCAGTACGCAATGCTAATCATCTTACTATCGTGGTCAGTGGGCTGATTGTGAATTTAAATGATCTTTCTCAAAATGAGTTTCATATCTTTAAATTGAAATGCTACGATGCACCAAATATTTTTAGAAGCTTCAATTTGGAAAAATTCGATAAACTTATTAAATCGAATCAGCAAATACTTCACTTGAGAATATTTAACCAGAAGAACACACCCATAACTGTCTTATATAACTACAAATAATGATAAATGTGAAATATGTGAAAATTTTATACTATAAATTAATTTCCCAACATTTTTCATTGCAGAAATTGACAATCAAGCACGATTGGCTTCTTCCTCGATGTCAGAGTCCCCATCTTTAGCCAATTTGCAAAATAAACAAAATCGGGATCAACAGTACCTGGCCGTACGCTGTAATCCAGGTAGTGGACCGCCTCGCGGGTCTCATTCTAACGACTCAGGCAGCTTTGGAAAAGCCGAGGGCAATGAATATATAGAAGATATTTGTCCTTATGCAACATTCCAACTGAATAAACAAACATATAGCGAAAGCTCCTATAGCGGTAATGTGTACAGTGGCCCATATCATTCAGTACGTGGATCATTTGTTTATCATGATGTAAAGCCAGAGACTTACCACGTAAGTAATATTTACGGTTTATCAAAAGTTAAATTATTACATACATACATATGTTAACTTATATTCACATATATATAATAATAATACGGTAGTCGAAGGAACCGGAATATACAAAGGTGCGACGAAAAGTGGGGCGCTTACGGGATCCACATTCGGAAAGTCAAGGTAAGCAAGAGTCAAACCTCCTAAATATTATATTTTACTGTAGAAATTAAATTTTAAAACAGCGGAAAATTTGTTAGTTTCATACTCATTAAGCATTATGTCATTAAATATTCGCATAATAATTAAACATTTGTATAATTCATTCCTATTAAGTTAATTTATACAATATTTTATGAAACAGACAAACTTAAATTACTCGATTATAGAAATTTTTTCACTTGTCCAAATTTTCATAAATAAAACTACATAAATATCCGGAAGAGGAAAAATTGAGATGTAGCAATTTCTAAGCATTTTCAACGTGCGGCTACCCTGAAACTAGTTTATGCAATTTAATTTCATATAATTGCATAAACAAAATTGCAGAATTGAAATTGATTTCTAATTGCTTGCTAGCGCTGCACCAGCAATTTTTATTTCTCTTGAAATTGCTGCCAAAGGATTTGAGTTCAGTCAAAGTAGATTTTTGATAAATTATTATGAATATATATGTATAAGAAAAAGTTCCCAGAGCATTCGGATATAAACGAAAAACTGTAACTTGCAAGCGACTTTCAAAGTTTTTATCGATTTGTCTCAAATGTTTTCGAGACACGTGAAATTGCTTTCATATAATTACCTACAATTGGTTTATAAGGATAAGAAATATGTGGCGGTTTTGGAGATTTTTTTGCTAATGGAAGATTCTACCCACTAGAGAACATACAACGTTCCTCTATTTCTTTTATGAACCTCCTTTAACGTTCTCTTCAGAGAAAAACACTTTCAGTTAGACGAGTATTTTAATTTAATTTTAATTTTAACGCCGAAAAATTTAGCAAAATGGGTAAATCTAATTACGATAGTGGGAGAGGACACATTACCAAAGTCATTAAGAATTGGTACTGCATTAGCCTTAACTATTGATAGCTTAAATTGACAAGTATTTCGCACTGGCTATTTGATTCTCGGTTATTTTCGCCGCGGGTCTTTCTTTATATGATACGGCCGTAGGTATTCTACACTTTTTTATTGAGTTATCCACAATAGTATAAATAAAAACAAGCTTAATCATCAACATTAAACTTCATCTGAAAACAAAATCCATCAAATCGTACTAAACTTTTTAGAATCGGACAATCCAGGTTCAACAGATTCCGAAGTTAGGAAAATCCTAACACTTCACATACCAATTACAGAATATGACACACTAGGATCCGAGTCCGACAACGACGTGTCTGCCCGCGCAATGAATTCAGCGAAGTACCGTGCGCAACGGGGTAAGAACAAAAAACGATTTAGGCTATTTAATTATTACAAGTGTCCTAATTTACTTTGCTTTAACAATATTTATGATTCATATATCTATTTTTGTTTACTTTTAACAGCATTTGAACAGTTTTTATAATTATATAATATTTTATCAAGAGCATATGTTCACATTCTTCTTCTTCTCTACTGCCGATTATAGCCGAATTTATAACATTGTGCCATTCATTTCTTCTATTCGTTGATTTTCGCCAATCGCAGATACCTAGTGTATACAGGTCCTTCTGTACCTGGTCTTTTCATCGGAGTGAAGGCCTTTCTCTTTCTCTTCTTCCACCGGCGGGTACTGTATCGAAGGCTTTCAAAGCTGGGTTATGCTGTTTCTTGATTTGTTGGACTATCTCAATGTCGCCGTATATCTCATACAGCTTATCGTTCAATAGGCTGCGGTATCCTTACGGTAAATCTTACGCAAAATCCTTCACTCGAAAACTCCTAACGATGAGTCCATCAGATGTTGAGTTTGATTTTCGTTCGTGCCATATCCAAAAATAGAGAAAAAAGGTTATAACTTTGGTCACCTCGTCAGTGAATAAGATTGACTGTTGTATTTGTATTTGAAGAAATCAAAAAAACCTCCATTCAATACGCTCGGCCGAAAATTCCTTGTATAGTTAAAATGCGCCATTTATTCCTAAGATCTCTTTGAATATTCAAATATTCAAAAAAAAAAAAAAAAAAAAAAAAAAAAAAAAAAAAACAAGGGATTGAACCCCTTCGAAATAAAAAATATATGACATACATATGTCTGTATAAAAAATAATGTTATAAAGGTAATAAAAAACATTTTATGCATTTTTTTTATTACGTTTGGACCAACCGACAACCGGTTTTCCAAAAGTATAAGAATTTTTCTTTCCTTAAAAGGCTTTGAGCGGTGACTAACCGTGTTTGATTTTTGCTTAAGATAAAAATAAATAAAACTGAAGTCCACCATGCTATTTTTCAGGAAAAAATAAACCGCATTGAATATACATATGCCCTCGATAATAAAATTTATTTCTTTTTTTTCGAATTACAGCTCTTAAAAGTAGTTTCTTTCACACAACTTTTATAATTGAAAGCAATTGAAGAAATTTCTTACGAATTAATTGTTTTTTTTTTTGTATATGTAAATATCTTTATAAGATACGCAAGATGAAACATCTTCGTCATCAGAGACAACACCAACAAGTTTGTCAAGAAAATCCAAGCCACCATTTGCAGCTCGCAAAAGCGGTAAGACAGGAACAAGTGGCAAACGTCACGTAAGAAGTTCCAGTGGGTATTCGAGTCACAACGAAGAAACTACATTTAGGTAAGCCAACTATTAATCTTTTAGTTGTTTGGTGATTGATAAAAGTTTTTCTTTTTAGCATATCCAACTATCCACCAAATTATCAAGACCATATAAATCCACCTGCACGATTTTCCGACTCCAATGACAAATCGAAATCTCAAACATCACCACGAGTACGGGGCAATCAGAAACTTCAAAGAGAAGCTTTTCAAATAAATGTATAACAAGAACACAGTAATATACTTGTTAACAGTAAACACATCAAATTTTAAAACAGAAAATGCGATGTTTAAGTATGTCACCCCGCACAGCGCCAAAAACTAAGACACAAAGTCAAAACCAAAATATTTGTGTATTCGTGGATGAACTCGAATTCGAACAGAAACCACAGAAACCGAAATTTACTTTTACACATTATTCTTTGACAATTTTCATGGCAATCAAAAATTTATTAGCGTTTCTTTGACTTCATTTGCTTATCATTTATATAAAACTGAAATTATTGCAAAACAAAGAGTACATAATATATCAACTAAAAAGCGAATGCATGTTCTCATACATACTCGTACAAAAAATATACAATATATTATTTTTACACCATGCTTTTAATGCGAGAAAATTACTTGCGCTTTCTAATATGAAAATTTTAAACTTTTTGAACACAAATATCGATAAGTAGTCATAATGTATGTATGATTTAAAAAAAAAATTCAGACAATTTTATTTATTTAAAAGAAGACATCATTGTTTATGTTGATTAGATTCATAAATCAATCAATATATTCAAGACTTAAATAGCAGAATATGTATATAGTACTTATGTTTCATATAAAAATCATAATGAAGAATAATAAGTATTGAATAATGTAAAAGGTATCTGTTATACAAATGTTTCCATTTAACGTACATATTTAGATATTTTATTACTAATTGAATTATAGTGAATTTTTGAATATTTGAATTTTTGGATTTGTAAATCATTCCCAATATATTGTAAAAGACGGAAAGAATTTTTGACGAATAGATTTAAATCATAATAAAAAGACTTATTTACATGCACAACTTGACTATAATAATGAAAATAGAATAAAATATTTATTGTAAAAAAATATTTACTACGATTTGTATGTAGTATACCTTCAATGTTTATTATTAAATAAATATTATAATTTTTTTCTATTGAAATATGTTAAAAGTAAGGTAGTCGTTATTATTTTTAATAGTGAAAAATTATACTCATATAAATACTCTAAAATTAGAAAACATTAAAGAAAATACATTAAGAGTGAACACACGAAACTTAACAAAAAAAAAAAAATAAATAAAATGTTAAACAATATTATTTACATACATAACAGTTTGGAAACCCTAAACCGATATTAGGAAAGCAAAGAATACTAACTTTAACAACGATAATAAATTTTGACTACTGCAATGTAATTCCGGTAAAATTTGGAGGCAACAACTCTTTTCAGAGAAATGTAAAAGAAATAAATTTCCTTGTTTAAATTACAGTTTCATACGTTTATAAGCATTATTTACAAACATATGTGCCGTTTTGATGTGTAACGTGGGCAACTCAACAAAATTGATATTATGTTTTATTTTTGAATTTAATCATTATATCTTACTTACCTCAACGGACTTGCTAATTTGAGATGGTGCTTCATATTTTTTAGTATTAGGGATTTATCATCATCCTTCCTTACTAATCCTTCTTTTTTGATAGTGGAGCAAATGTTTGTGTAAGAAGATTAAGCTGTGGACGTTTATTAAAGCAGTCTTTTGTGTTTCAGCATTAGATCGAGTCCAAACGAAGCATTTTTAATTTTAGCACAAAATGCACATACTTCCATATAATTTTGTAACTCGTCGTTAAATCTGTTAAAGGAGAAAATACCTGAATGAAACGCAGAGATACTTAATTTTTTTTTATTCGTAGATTATGGCCCTATATTATTGTTTTTTGTTCCAAGTGCTTCTCACAAGATTTCAGTTCTGTTCGGTGAGAAATGTCAGTAACGAAATTGAGAGTAAAATGTTTTAAGTAAAGTTCAGTAGAAATTGTTACTGCTCATCAGGTCACCGAACAGACCTTTTCAGTTTCAAATATAAATTGTTTTCCTCGAAATGGACGAACGTGAATTTTCAACTGTTTGAAATTTTGCCAGAATTACACTCACAATATACATAAGTATTTAAATTAATTTATTGAAAATTATCAAAATCGAATATTGCTTGTTAGTTATGTTATTGTATGTGTTTACTTATTGTAGAAGGATGTTTATAAATCACAAACGTCTCTAAAAGTATTTCTTACTTTCAATCCAAATAACTTTTACAAAACTTTAAATTTCCCTTCATTAACCCAAAAAATGGGATTTCAATTACAACATTTTGTACCTACACTTCTTGTTACTTCTTGAAATAAAAAGATGATTTGTGTATATGATTTCATCAAGATCGCTAAAATATTTTTAGAATTAAAAATATGACAATATGGAATAACTTCCCAGCCCCAAAAGTAGTCTTGATTGGTCAGCTCCTATTACTCCCAAAATCTTGTGATTTATAGGCATCCTCCAATTATGAAACCTACAAGAGTTAAATATTAAAATTATCATATGAAACATCATTACAAAACACGACGGACAAATTTTTTAGGGGGTCCATTTTGTAAAATTTGGTTGTAACGAATACTCGAATATTGTTAAATGGTTTAAATAAGATAAAAAAACACAGATGTGCGACGGGCGATTCCAAATAATTGTAATATTGTTGTTGCAAAACGTTAAGTTTTAATGTTGTTGTGTAATTGGCGCGGGTACATATATACATACGAATGTGAAATTAAATACACATTGAATACTTATGTTATATAAAGATTCCCAGGAATGGAATCGAATTGAATCGAATTGAATCGTTCAGAGGCATTTTCTTTATGCGAATTAAAATTAGAAAAAAAAAACACCAGGGACGATTTTCAATAATTTTTTTTCTTTTCGTATAGGCTCAAAACCAAAATCCAATCTGCATTAGAAAAGAAAACAAAACGTTATGCATAACTAACAACAAAAATCAAATTTTATTTTGAATGATTCCTTAATAATAATAAATAATATCAATTACATATTTTTGTTTTTTTTTTTTCTTTCTTGCAAACAATCATATTAAAATTGTTCCAACACCTTTTTTTTAGCATTTTCGCTTATGACACATTTGTAAGGATTCAAGGGGTGGGTATTTTTATATATATATGTTTTCAATTCGTAAGAAGTTTGTACTAAATCTTTGAAAACTTTACTAAAGTAGGAATCGCTCGTGCACATAATAAATATGATATTAATTAAATATGAATAGAGTTAAGAGCTCATAATGTAGTGTATGATATACGCATATATTACATACATATATCGAAAAATATATAAGATAAAAATATGTGGAGGAATTTATATAAAAAACCAAATATAAAGTTAAAGTAAAGGGGAAAAAATAATATCGAATATTTGTATAATGAGAACGAAGTGCATATAATAAAAAAAAATAACAATAATTAAAATATCTACAACAACTCAATGGATTTCTGCTTAGAAATGAGGTTAGCTTTTATTAGTATTACAATAGCAAATAATATAAATATCAAAAATTTCAAGGTAAGAAAACTATTTTATATAGCCGTATTGACAATTGGCGCTAGTGATCCTTCCAATTGAGTTCAGCTAGATACTCTTATTCTTCTTCATCACAACTCATCGTTCCTTTGACTGCGATAGTCGGCGTTACTAATGATCAAAGCATTGAAAACTTTCTGCTAAACCGTTTTCTCCTCTTAGTGCCGACTCAGCGAATGTCGACATCGTCGATGCTTCTGAATTATACAGCAGGACTGGAGTGATGTGCGACTTGTAGAGTTTAATTTTGGTACGTAGAGAAAGACATTACTTTTCAATTGCGTACTCAGCCCGTATTAGCACCTGCTGGCAAGAGTGAATTTGGATTGACTTTCACGGCTGACATTGCTATAACTGTTATTTGCTAGTCCCTAGAAAGACGAAATTATCAGTAACATAATAGAGATATCAAATTGGGACATAGCGGCGCAGAGGTGGTTCTTTATCGTGCTGTCGAAGGCAGCTTTGAAACCGATGAAGAGATTGCAAGTTGTTATGAGTCATTTTCAATATTCAGGGCATTGTGATTGTAAGATCAATGTTGATTTTAACCGGTCTGAAGCGAAAATGATATGGCTCAATATAAAATCACTGATAAGATCTTATATGCGATATTGAGGAGCCTTATTCCACGATTCTTATGGATTGCGAGGAACAAACTCAGGTTCCAATAGTCTGTCATGATTTCGTCCAATATTATTCTGAAGTTTATGTAGGCACCTTGTTACCACTTCACCGCCATATTTGGTTAGCTCAACACGTATACCAATGGCTCCTAATATCGTCGTGGTTGTGAATTCGTATTCCGGGTGTTGCAAATTTACTTCTTTTAAGCAGGCTCAAAACGCTTTCCCTCAATAAAATTAATATGTTCCCGACAAACATTGGAACTTGAAGTTTAAATATTGCTTATAACTATAAATGATGCTTTCTGGCCACAATTTATGGTGTGTTCCTTCTGTTTTTGCTATAAACTGAGCCGAATTTAATAAGGTCAAGCTCCTGCAACAGAATCAAAGTTTTTACCATTCATTTGTTTTACTTGATGTGCTGATGTTTTCCTCTAGTCTGAAGAGTGGCAGTGAAAACGAAACACCAGGAGATGGTGAACCCAAAACCCCAAACTTTGACTATTGAAAAGACGTCCCAATACCTGACCATAAAGAAGTTCGAATAGTAATCGCCCGCTAAAAAACAACAAAGCGGCTGGAGCTGACGGGCTACCGGCAGAACTATTCGAACATGGCGGTGAAGAGCTGACAAGGTCCATGCACCAAATCTTGGAAAAGACCCATGAAAAGAGGATCGACACCCCCCACCTCTTCGTTGATTGTAGAGCCGCCGTTGACAGTACGAATAAGAGCTGCCTTTACGCCGCAATGTCTTTAATTGGTATCCTCGCATAACTTATACGGCTAAGCAAACTGACTTTAAGCAACACTAAAAGTTCCTTCAGAATCGGAAAGGGCATCTCCGAGCCATTAGATACCAAATGAGGTTTCAGACGGGATGACACCTTATCGTGTAAGTTATTGGCCTCAGTGTCATATTTTTAAAGTCGTTGATAACTTCGTCTACCTTGTCACCAGTATTAACACCAACAACAATGGCGGCCTGGAAATCTAACGTAAAATCACTCTGGCGCAGGTGCTACTACGGACTGAGTAGGCAATAGACAAGCAAAGTCCTTTCTCGATGAACGAAAACCAAACTCTACAAATGACTTACCGTTCCCGTCCTGCTATATGGTGCGGAGGCATGGACCATGACAACATCTGACAACAACAACTGACAGCCGGTTTTACGTAATGGAATTTCGGCGACTTTTTCCCGTNTGGTAGTGAACGAAGGCAAGACGAAATATCTCCTGTCAACACACAAACAGTCATCGCATTTGCGATTCGGCTCCCACGTCAGTACATCAGTATTGACCGTCATATTTTTAAAGTCGTTGATAACTTCGTCTACCTTGGCACCAGTATTAACACCAACAACAATGGCGCCCTGAAAATCTAACGTAAAATCACTCTGGCGCAGGTGCTACTTCGGACTGAGTAGGCAATAGACATGTAAAGAAAGTCCTTTCTCGATGAACGATAACCAAACTCTCTCACACATCTGGCAACAACAACTGACAGCCGGTTCTACGTAACGGAATCGACACGGATTTTATCCGGCCAAGGGCTGTCAGCCCCATGCTGTCAGCGCCCAAGCACGCCTCCAAGGCACGCAGTGCCTTCAGCGCCTTTATCCACTTTGGGTCACCAACAGACCTCTACGGTCTCACGGAGCTCCCCGCATCATCCATCCACGCAACACTTCCTCACCCCCCGAATCACGAAAGTTCCGCCGAGACAGACCCGACTCTTACAATTTAACTGCATTAGACTCCAATGGAAGATCGACGAGATAGCCGACTATATGAGCCGGGAGCACCTGTCAATTGCTGCTATACAGGAAAAGAAGTTGACCGCCCGATCAGATCTTCTGAGCCGGGCCGGATACAACATAATCCGCAAGGATCGCGAGCGAGACCATGGTGGGTGTTAGCGTTCATCCTGAACAACAACGTGCAGTATCGTCTTATCGACGGCGACATCGACCGCAGGAATACTACCCTAGAATGTCATGACATAGCTATCTGGTCAGGCGATGCCGAGCTCGAGATATTTATTATATACACGCCTCCAGTTACAAGTTGCCCAGTAGGACACCCCACTGATATAGGTGCGTTGCTCGAGGTGAAAACCGTTTGGTTTGAGCGACTGTAACGCGCATTACTATCTTTGATATTCTAACCTGTCAAATCACCGTAGAGAAATGGAGCTGGCAGAACAGATAGACGATTCGACATTCTGCACAATGAACAATAACACTCCCACCAGAGTTATGGGTAATTGCCAAAGCTCGCCGCATGTAACAATAGCGAGTGCTTGTCTGGCAATCAGTATAGTCTGGCGACCTGTACTGACACTAACATCGGACCACTTACCCATACAAATCTCGATTGACAGGCTTCCCGACTTTGTTTCCGCGGATCACCGGGCATTCGTTAACTTCAAAAAAGCTAACTGGCCCGGCTTCAGGGAATTCACCGAGAATGCCTTTAGTGTTCTCATCTATCGGACATCACTACTGGTGAGCGTTTATTCCGCAGGGGCGTCGTAGCCGCTGCCGCCCGCTTCATCCCGGCAGGATAAATTGCGGAAATCCGCCTAAACTTTCCGAACGAAGCGGCGGTACTAGCATCCGGGCGCGACACCCTTCGAAACTTCGATGTCAGGAATCCTCTAATCAGGGATTTAAATTCGCAGAGTAGTTAACAGACACAAGCGGAAAAAGTGGGAGGAACACTTAAGGACCTGCAACCTCTCGTTGTCTAACCCGACGAGGCGCGATGACCGGTTGGAAATTTTGTTCGGTGATCGCTCCCCGTCGTACCCGAAGAGATGTGCGAGCTATTTTAGCCGACTTTTTACACCTCATCCCAGACAAAACGATGAGACGTTTAACCAGCCGTATGCACAAACTGCCAAACACCAGCACGGCGCTTGATTTCTCCAGGGAGGACGGACGGAAAAAGCATGCTGCTGCTCAAACAACTCGGACTAGCGAGAGCAGAATTTCTCACGAAGGACCTTAATTTCTTTTTGACCACCCTAATGATACCTGATGTGTCTAAAACGGGCTTGGTGGTCCCACTACTCAAACCGGGGAAACCAGCCAACAAACTAGTCTTATCGGCCGATAAGTCTCCTCTCTCCAGTAGCGAAACCTTACTACTCCCGACCTTTACTCACTCCATAAATAATTCGATAGTCAATGGCCTTAACCAAAACCGACCCTGCCCGCGAACTGTCTTGGTAACACTGGATCTGTCAAAAGCTTTTAACACAGTCAATCATTCAGTGCTACTAACGGACATTGAGGAATCCTCATTACCGCCGGGGTTGCAGAGGTGGGTCATGGGCTACCTGATGCCGATGATTGTGTGATAATGGCGTCTGGCCAGGATATTGATGACCTCTGTTCGAAAGTTAACTGTTACCTGTTACCATTAAAAATACAGCCGACTACATATTCGGCTATCCTCTTTACCAACTGGACGAAGGAATACAGGCTTGAACTAGATGTGAAGGTCGATGACGTGGAAATTTCAACTGGAAATAACGCAAAGGTATTGGGAGTGACACTAGACAGCCTGCACTCCTTCACTCCGCATACGACCGCAATTGCCGCAAAACTCTAGAGCCGCAACAGAATACTCAAAGCGGTAGCCGGCAGCACCTGGGGTAAAGACAAGGAAACTTTGCTGGCAACTTATAAAGCATTTGGTCGGCCGGTCGTAACTATGATGATGTCGCTGGAGCATCACTTGTGCAGCGAACCATCTTTGATCGGAGTAAAATTACCACTCATAGCAGACAACGAACTCGAGCTGCCTCGAGATACCTGCGTGACCTTGGCACAACTTGGGTCTGGATACTGTAGCCGATTAAAATCCTACTTATCCAGATTCGACCCCGGCTTATCCAACGTATGACCTGCATGTGGAGAGTCTCTGTACGACACTAACCACCTCTTCTCATCTAACCGCCCTTTGGCCGAATCCCGTCGAAACAGCTCATTTTCTGGACCTCCCTTTAGATGATCTGGGCGACTTAGATTAATCCAACCTGTACCTAAGCGGGGTTAGCGAGCCGCTACAACAACAACAACAAACACATCTGATGGGACGGCGTTAGGAGTTTTCGAGTTGGTAACGGCGAATACCCCAGCCGATGGTATGATGAACTGTATGAGACATACAGCGACATTAACACAGTGCAGCGAATCATGTAGTCCGCATGGATAAGAATAATCCATCTTTTAAAGCTTTCGATGCAGTACTCGCCGGTGGAAGCAGAGAAAGAGGTAGACATCCACTCCAACGAGAAAAAGGAATGAATAGCGCAGTGTTATAAATTCGGCTATAATCGCGTAAGCGCATCTACGCCAGTAAAGTAGCTAAATAAGTAATTCAGCAATTAAGCGTGGTTAAAATATTTTTTCCCGGAAAACAAATCGTTAGTTTATCGCCTCGAAAGTATTCCACAATAAAAGCAGAGGTTCTTTTATTTTCATAAATGTGTATTATGGATTGAAACTGTACTGTACGGTTTCTTTAATTATCATGGGATACTACAACATTCTGAAAATAATACAGAGGGGTGTTTTGAGAGGAAGTTGCAAACTCATGCTGAGAGAATTTTAGCTAGTAAAAACTAGCAAGTATGAAAAAGAGCTGATTGGTCAACATCACCCATCGTTAAAACAAGAGAATTTACGTTATTAAATCTTTTCTAAATTAAAAAACTTCTTGCTTGTTTTAAGCTTTTTTAGTGTATTTTTTAATATCATATTAACAAAACTTATTATTAATATAATGCCACTTTACTTCCACTTTATGTGAATGGATAAATAATATTTAATGATTTTATGCCTCTATGAGACTTCAAAAATGGAAATTGTTTAGCATAAAATAGATAAAAACAGTTGAGTTCAGACAGATTTTTTTTACACAGCGACTTCTTAAAAATTAATACATATATACCGTGTTTAATAAGGAGCTTATTATTAAGGAAATAACGACGTTCGATTACCAACACTATTTTTACACATTTTATAGGGAAATCAAATATCAGAACATTATTGGATTATCTTTGCATTGATCTATCACGTATCCAGTGAAGCGTTTCAGGAACTTAGGATACTCGCGCTTATAGACAGCACGCAAAGCGGAAGCAGGTGCCCAACCTCCTGGATTCACTGTAATAAATATAAATTAAAAATATGAGTTTTAGTTTAGTTTGACTTCATTCGTAGCTTACCAACAGAACAGTAGGTGATCTTACAAGTTAATTCATCACGACTAAGTTTGTCGTTTTTTGTTTTTCCAGGTGGTAAGAGCGTTTGGCAGGCCAAAATCACCGTCAGAAATATGCGGACGCATTTACTATTTTTCGACTAACACGAAAGAGAAGCGATTGTTGAATTATACTTTTCAATGGGAAAACTTAATAATATGTGTCAAACTAATTAATATCTATTAATTAAGTCAAACATATCTTTACATAATGAAAATAATATGAAATGAATTGGGTAGTAAAATTGTTGTTCAAATCATCGATTCGGGGTCCCCTAAGCACTAATCGACTTTAATATTCTATGAGCATTTAATATAAAGTACATGTTATTTAAACGAGTTCACTTACTTCTTGTTTAGAATATTCCGTTGAGTTATTACACACAACCCACATATCTATGGCATCTTCATCTAAACCATCTGTAATTTTGCGCATATGTGACCAAAACAATGCATCACGTTGACTAGCAGGCCAGATACGTTTGTGTGTTTGTAAGAAGACAAATGTGTCCGAAGAAATTTTTTCTAATATGGTACAGTCTTCCAGTGTAGCTAAAAAAAATTTTATTATATAATGCCATAATAAATGACGAATTCGTCCTTACTCTCCCATTCATTGCGGAATTCTGGCATGAAAAAGTAATGACACATTTCCCGTGCAGTAACACCATTAACGCTGTGGTATGCTTTTAGTGGATCCATGACTAAGCCATTCACTTCTTCTTCTCGTTTGTACATTTTTATTTCACCTTCATCCGCAAATATTTGCCAGCCGTTACCACCTTGACCCACACCTTCGCGGGCATATCGTAACTGCTCACTGCATACCCGATCGATCTGGAAAATAACGTACTCACTCACTTACTATAACTAATCGGACACTGTTGTTTAAAAAACGTACCTCTGACCATAAGACATGATTTCTTGCTGGTCCTCCAGTGCCGAACTCTTCCAAGTTTGAATCATTTTCTTCAGTTTGAACTTTGTGCGGAACATTGGCGACCGTTAATGATTGCTGTGTTTGTAATTTTAATTTAGCTCGAATCTGCATGTCTTCCTCGATTTTCTCCAGACCAGTTTCAACGGCATCGAAGAACTCATCTTCCGGCAAAGTGGAATGAGGGCCCTCCTGAAACGAATAAATGACGCAAAAAAATTAGTTTTTAAATAAATAATGGTTTATAATTTTTTTAAGTGTTTTTTTTTTATGTTGTTGTATGTAATTTTAAAAACACATCAGGGGTGTTATAGAAACCGACACAGAATTGCTTATTTATCGGTATTGAAAATCAATCTCTGTTTGAAATGGTGGTATGAAACCGACTAGATTTTGCTCTTTTCGAAGATAAGCAAAACTGATATTCGAATTAGCGGTCATAACACCGTTGCAAAAAATTGTGTACTGGTATTAACACATTTGTGATTATTAAAAATAAGATGTCCTCGGCAGTGATCATTTTTGATAATAGAAGGATTTGGAGAAATTATCCAAAAAGTAAAGCGCAAAATTTTAAGGGATAAGGGCAGGAGCTGATAGAGTCGACGTAAGTGCAATTTTGCATTCTACTCTTACATTTGTTGATACGAAATTCGTTTGTATCTGATTCACAGACCAATGTCGCCTTAACAAAGAAGCCTTTGTAATAGTACTGGATGTCATTGAAGACCAGTTAGATAGGTTGTGCTTGCAGCCACGCTGCGGCTTTTGACAGAAGGCTCCTATTAACGGCCTGTGGGACTCAAATATCTTCTTAGCGCGACCTACAGTCTCTGTGGTTATGACAGAAATGCCAGAGGCTCTTGGACGTTTGAATTGCAAACGCTGGATAATTTTCAATCAAGTACCGTATTCCAGGCATTGCTGCTTGTAAAGTCCATTGTTCATGACATACATTTTTATTAAATTTCCTCTTGCAAAGAAAATCGCACACAATTCTGTCTACAAATAACTGATCGGTTTAATTCTGACATTTAAACCGATAAATCGGCGTCTGTAACACCAAAAATAGGCATAGATTCTGTTTCGAAAATGAAACTGATATGCAATTGGAATTGTAGCCTCTTCTCTGGAATGTGTAGCCCCTTCAACAGTATTTTGTCGGTCTCAATTCTTATTCCGACAACAATCTGTATAATTCCGATTTTTCAGAGGTTTTTTGCGGCCATCTGATTTTTCTGTAACAATATCACCTGACACAAGTTTTTAAAAGTTAGCTGTATATACATGTAATTGACATCGTTTACCGTTTTATTATGTTGATTATTAATTTAAATATTATTTTATTTTGCACCAAGTGGTAAGCTGAGCTAGTGATGCCATAACCTACTTATTGACTCCAAATGCTTCAGCATGGGAAGGTACATAATATATTAACCACTACTCTTTCGGTGATAACTGATGAAATAGTTAGAGTCCAAAATTAATTTAGTTCAATGTAAAGTCTACTTTCACTTTTCTAAGGAAAATCAAAAAATGGATAGCAAGTGCACGCTTTGATATAAGTATGTATACAATGTGCGCCATCTAGACCTTCGGTATTTCAACATTGAATAACTCTGTCGGTTTTTAGACGATTTTGACAAATGTACATGATTCTGAAGCGTCATTGAGTGCCATTTTAATCATGAGCGAATACACATCGAAAAAACGCGTTGAAATCGTAGCGCTTTACATTGAAAACAATCGCTGTGAAAACAGTGCGTGCTTATCGTAACTGTTAATGACTTTTTTCTTTGGGGTTATTTAAAATGTAAAGTTTATGCTTGGTAAAAGTAACATACGAGCCGAAATAGCTGCTATACCGCCTGACATGCTGGCCAATGTTATGCAGAATGCGCGAAAAAGAGCTGTTTTTTGCCTATCAAATGAAAGTTGTGTTTTAAAACTGATTCGAATTAAATAACAAAGTATATCCTTAATAAATCTTGCTCATTTGCAAAATCGGCTGAAAAATATCTGAGTTCCTTGAAGGTGAAATACCGAAAGTCTAAATGACATACCTACATATATATTTGAACTATTTAATATTCAAAAATCGTATACCAGAAATTTGGTAGTCCACGAATTGTATTTATTAAAATATCCAGATGCTTCTTATATTTCATTTATTTAAAGTTATCTCAATTAAAATTTTGTTTTTACTTACGTTGATTCTTTTTCTTTGAAGACATTTTAATTCATTGTTCGAAAAACGCATAGACGGCATATTAAAAGTCTCTTGAAACAATTTTTTTCTTTCTTTACAATATTGTTATCAAAAAAAAAAAGACATTAACATATACACATATATACATATATATGTACATATATATAATTGGCGCTTTGCAACGGCTCTTGATGTTTTTCCGACAAATGGAGGGACCTACAGTTTATACTAAGCCGCCACCGAACGGCTGATGGGTTTTTTATGAGGAGCTTCTATTTCATGTCCGAAATACACTCGGAGGCGTGGAAATTCCCTGCCGAGGGGCGACCGCAATTAGAAAATTTAACTCATGTTTTTATTTAAATCAATTTTCCCTAAGTTTTGGGTGTTGGTCGCACGGGGACTTGAACCCGAGCCTTCCGAATGGCAGTACCCAATGCTAACCACTCGGCCACCGTGGCCGCCAATATACACATACATACATGATATTTATGCAAAAAATCTCACAAAGCCCGAATCAATAGTTCTGTTCGGCGACCAGATGGACAATAACAATTTTACTGAGCTTTACGGAATCGTGTTCGTTCAGCAATAAAAAGCAGTAAAATTAGTAGCGAAAGAGCGCAATTTCGACGTTTTGTTTGGAGAAAAAGTTGCAAACTCGGGCTGAGAGAATGTATGAAAAAGAGCTGATTTGTCAACAAACCAAAATTTATTTCAAATAAAAATAATATTAACACTTTAATATGAATTATATACCATCAACGATGCAATCAAATAGATACGGTGCTCATTAAATGCCAACGCATTCTGGCTGTGGAGTGGAATACTCGTCCGCATACCACCGAGTCCACGTTGATGAATTAGAACTTTGGAATGTTGAAGGCATAGAATTATAATATATTATTATTTCTTATACAACGCAAATTGATTTTGGTTTTCTGTAATTTACTAGAAACCAGTACCGACCAAATGAACCACAAAACATTGCTGTTGCATTGTTGAATTAATATGGCCGAATTTCACGGGAAAAGAGTTTCAAACTGATTTTGGTTTTTAAGTTCCTGAAAGTCTAAACGACAAATTGTTGCAAAGCAAGTTTTACCTCAAGTTTCGACATTTTGAGACTATTAGAAAAATATATTGATATCTCTATCGTTGGACGACTGTAAAGTATCTATGTAGAATTTCATCATTGTTTTGAATACAATTCTTATAATTAAAATCCTGTATAATTGCCAATTATATTAAAATAATTAGAAAACTACTTAAAAGCAGAACAAAGAAACTGTATAAATGAGCGGATTTAAATTTAGCCGCCACAGCTGTTGTACAACCTGTTCATTTTTACTGAATCCTGTTCGGTGAAAACTCAGTAAAGTCCAACCTTTGTGAGAGTAAGACATCTCAATCTCTCAATTCCGTTATATGCTAATTTTTATTGACATTTCTCAACGAAAACAGCTAATGTAGAAATCCATCTCAAAAAGGGTGTTAATTCGGACCTAATATGTATCATATAATAATAATTTTAGAATATTAGCATACTTTACACATTTTGAATATATCTTTACACGAAAAATGAGTTTTGAATATGAAATTATGTGAAAAAAATTCCACGTTCAAATATCGTAATTTTTTTTAATGTCAATGAAGAGAAATGACTCATTGGCATAGGCACAGTTTACGCGATATAGCCAAATCGACAACACCTTGTTGTTCTATCGCCTAAGCTTTTCGCCGTGGCCAATGCGCAAAGCATTTATCGGATTTGGACATCGTTCACTCCTTCGAACCATATAGCAGGACAAGAATGATGAGCGACTTTTAGAATTTGTTTCTGGTTATTGTCTTTTCCTCATTCACTAACAGCCCTATTCGCTCTGCTTCTTTTTCAAGCCACGAGAAATCGAAACTAACAGCATGATCCTTAAAGTCTATGTCAATGTTATCGAGATACGCCAGCAGCCGTTTTTTGTTGCGCATCTCTTTTTATTTTTTCCAGTATCAAATTGGAAAAATCCCGTGCTCGAGAGTCACTTTGTCTGAAACCTCATTTTGAACCAAACTGCTCGAAAAGGTCCTCACCAATTTAAACTACACTTAGCCATATAAGTTTAACAGGGATACTAAATTCATATATAGCGGTGTCGAAGCAGCTTGCTTGCTGTAGAAGGCAGCAGAAAAATCGATGAAAATGTTATGTGTATCGATTCTTTTCATTGCCAAGATTTGGCGCCTGGTCAGTAATGGATTTACAATGTCTAAAGCCACACTGTCAAATTCAAATTAGTTTGTTGACGGTGAGTTTTAGTCCTTCACACAATATGGTCGATAGTACCTTATATGCGGTATTTGAACTGGGCAGAGCACACTTAGGTTCCAATCGTTGGCATGCTTTTTTCGACCATATTGTACAAGGCCATCAGTTCGATGAATGCACCTAGTCAGCTTTTCGCCGTCTGGCTTGAATAACTGTTCCAGTAAGCCATAATTGACGTGTTCAATATAAGGAATTTCTCGATTTAACGTAGCTTTAATCATTGTAGAACTTATTGACCTTTATTTGACCATTTCATTTGCGTATCGCGCAAATTTGTTACCAAAATAATGGTTCAGTTCGCGCGACACATCGCACGCTGTGTGCAATATTCGGTCAATACTCTAGCGGATAATGACATCCTCATCAAAAATGGGGCTCACTTTTAGTTTGATGGTGCGTTAGTAAAAACAATTGTCGCACCGTTTCATCCTAAAAAAGTCAATGGGAAACGGTGTGGAGCCATGTTTAATGACTTTTTCGTGCCTGCATTGGTGAGCACATTATCTCTAGAAGAGAACATTCGACGGACGTGTTACTGCTGACATATGGTCCCAATTGCTGAGAAGCGGTCTCGGCTGGAATACATTCAAGCCAGCCGTGGCGGTTACTCGGACGATATGAAAGATAATGACAAAAGCTTATCTTTATAAAATAAAGCCC